GGGCTCCGGTTACACCTGGCCCTGCTGCCCCCCCGGCCCCCGGCCCCGGCCGGTGACAGCGACAGGGCTGCGGGGCTCAGGGCTGCACCCCACTGCTGCCTCAGTTTCCCCCTTCTTTGTGCTCTGCTTTGCACCTGCAGAGTGCCCAACTGGCACCTGCCCTATACCACAGCCCCACAAACCCACGGTCCCACAGCCCCACGCCATGAACCCATGAACCCACAGCCCCACAGCCCCATGATCCCACAGCCCCATAGTCCCACCGCTCCATGCCATGAACCTATGACCCCATAGCACCACAGCCCCACACCACAGCCCCACAACACCGCCCCACAGCCCATGCCATGAACCCATGACCCCACAGCCACGAAGCCCCACACCACAGCCCCATAGCCCCACAAACCCTTAGCCCCACAGCTCCATGACATGGGCCCACGACCCCACAGCCCCACTGTCCCATGACTCCACAGTCCCACGGCCCCACATCCCCACAGCCCCATAGCCCCACAGCTCCATAGCCCCACAGCTCCATGCCATGAACCTATGACCCCATAGCACCACAGCCCCACACCACAAACTCATAGCCCCACAGCACCATGCCACAGCCCTACATCCCCGCAGCCCCACAGCCCCACACCACAGCCCCACATCCCCACAGCCCCACGCCACAGCCCGTGCCAGCCTTTGCATAAGCAGCACGGAGGCTCAGTGACTCACCCCGCTGCAGCAGGGCCACGTGCCCAGCACCATGCCCGATCCCACTGGCTGCCAGGACTGGCACAGCTGGCAAAGCCACATCCCATCCCATTGATCTGAGGGCGCTGCCCTGTTTGGCACAGCCGGGGGACCCTCACCCTGTGCCACCGAGGCACTCCAGCAGTGGGGCTGGGAGGAAGGGTGGCACTGACACCGTGGAGAGGACAAAGCAGTGGCACTCTGCCCCTGAGCAGGGGGTGCCCCACGGTGTCACCCCCAAAGCTGGGGGGACACAATAGGGATCAGTGGTTGCAAATGCTGCAGTTCCCCTACAGCCCCCCTGCCCCAGTGCCCACACACACCCCAGGCTGGCATGGGGGACATGACTGGACCCTCATCCAGACCTGGAGCTGGGGGACAGGACCCCACAAAACCCTGGGGCTGTGGGAGAGGACCCCACAAAACCCTGGGGCTGGGGGACAGGACCCCACAAAACCCTGAGGCTGGGGGGGCAGGACCCCACAAAACCCTGGGGCTGGGGGGCAGGACCCCACAAAACCCTGGGGCTGGGGGACAGGACCCCCATTCCATCCTTGGACTGGGGGGACAGAACTCCCATCCAGCCCGGGGATTGGGGGACAGAATCCCCACCTAATCTTGGGGCAGGGGGACAGGACCTTCATCCAACCCTGGGACTGGGGGACAGAATCCCCACAAAACCTTGGAACTGGGGAACAGTACCCCTATTCCATCCTTGGACTGAGGGACAGGACCCTCAACCCAACCCTGGGACTGGGGGCTGCCATGGGGCACATTCCCATGCCAATCCCTCAGGAGCAGATTTGCGGACACCAACACTGTGACCATGTCAGTGGGTTCACCTCGTGACCCACTCCCTGCCGGGCAGGTCAGCCATTCCCGATGGGAAACTGAGTCACGGCAGCGCCTGGCAGTGCCCGTGGCGGGGAGCCCATGGCAGGGCCACCGCGGGCTCCGGCTGTGCAGCCCGGGCAGGCCAAGCTCGGGGCAGCCGGCACAGCCCCGGCGGTGGTCCCGAGCCGGGCTGAGGGGCTCTGGGTGTGGGACGGGTGATGCCGGCAGAAGGTTCCCCTCTCTCTGGGTGGGGCCCGAGGGAGAGCAAACAGTGATTAAGGCGCGATGGTGTCATCCGGAATTCCTGCTCACCTCCGGGCCAGCCAGGGGCCGGCTGGGCTGATCCGGGCGGCGCAGCTGCGCCAGCGGTGGCCACTTCAGTGCTGGCACAGGCTGGCAGTGCCCCGCCGTCTGCAATGGCCCTGACACAAAGATTTGGAGGCGAGTCTGGGCCAGGGATGAGAACGAGAAAGGCTGGGTGGTGGCAAGTGGAAGTTCCTGCTTGTCACTCCTTCCTGGTGGCTGTCTCCTTTCTGTGCCACAAGTGCCACCTGCGCCAGGCTGGATCCGGCCCCGCTGGACCTGTCCCCCAGCATTGCCCCGGCGGGTGCAGCTCCTGGCACTGCCCGGGTCTGGCACTGCCCTGGCAGCTCTGGCCCTCCAGCCCTGCAGGTTTCCCATCACCAGGAGCAGCAGCAGCCCCACCTGGGCTGGGGGTCTGCGCACCTGCCAGCTCCGAACGGCGCTGCACAGCTCCTGTCACTGCGTAGGGAGGGAGAGAGGGGTTTAAGGGACGCTCTGGGACATTCACTGCCACAGCAGAAACAGCTCTGGGCAAGAGGGGAAGGCCACTCCTCTCTCAGGAGCAAATGTTACTCCAGGGGCTCCATTGGTTCCACCTCGGTTCTGGCTTTCCTGGGAACACGACCCCAATTTAAACCTGGCCAAGTCCGTGGGGTAAGACCCTGCTCACGAGAAGAAGGGGTTCTGCTCTCATAGAGCCTCTCCACCTCCACCCCATGGCCCCAAACCCAGGGGCTAAGTCGCAGACCTGCAACACTCAGCACCTGCCCAGGTAACCCTGCAGCATCTCCTTCTTCCCTGGGGCTTTTCCCGGCTTTTTCCCGAACCTGTCGGCGCCGCACACGAAGGGTTAAGGGGCCGGCGGCGGGAGCGGGAGCGTGGATGGGAGCGTGGATGGGAGCGTGGATGGGTGCGTGGATGGGTGCGTGGATGGGTGCGTGGATGGGTGCGTGGATGGGTGCGTGGGTCCCGCGTTGCTCACGGCAGGTGTGGTGCCGCTTATGTAACCTCATACTTTTGGGTTGCGCCGAGCACTCGGCGAGTATTTTCGCTCTCGCTCTGGCGCGATTCAGCCGCGACTGTCCCAACAGCAGCAGCAATCGGCGACCGCCTTTTGGGAGGGGCGAGCCCGCCGGGGCCCGACCCCGCGTGCCACGAAGAGTCACCGCGCTGCTCCCGGTCTCAGTTTCCCCATCTGTGAAATGGGGCTAATGAGGGTGACCCGCTTCGGGCAGCTGCCGTGACCCCGGGGGACAGCACGGCCTCCCCGCGCAGGGGCTGCCCCTGGCCGGGGCCGCTCGGGATGCGCGCCGGGGTGGGATTTGTGGCTCCATCCGGGGCCGCGCTCKCAGGAGCCGTGCTGGAAGCAGAGCCAGCGAAGAGCGAGGCGAGACGTCGCCCCGYGTCCCGTCTGCGTGCCCATCCATGCGGAGGAGGCAGGAAAGCCGGGAGGAAGGAGCGAATCCGACCGGCGAGAGCAGCGAACCCGTTCCCAATCGCCATCAGCAAAATCGTGTCAGACAGCAGCACTGGAGCGCGCTGGGCGGCTCGGGCCCCTCCGCCCCCCGCACCTCCCGCCCCCTGCCCGTGTCCCCCTCCCCTCCCCGCCGCAGCCGCTCCCGCGCCAGAGCGGGGCCGGGCCTCTCTGTGCCCATGGGTGGGAGCACAGAGTGCCACCACTGCTCAGCCCCACTGGAGTCACTCTGTCACTGCCGCCTGCCTGCGCCAGAGCAGGGGGACAGTTCCTGGAGCAGCGGGGAGCCCCTCTGCCACCGGCCCATCAGCATCCCGGCACCCCCGGCTCAGCCCAGGGCTTGGGATGGATGGGGGTTGAAATTGCCCTCTTCAGCTGCGATTAAATGGTTTGATTGGAGCGTTGGGGGTCTGATGTGTCCCCTCAGGGCCCGGCTGTGAGGGCAGGGGACTGTCCAGGCAGGAGAAAGCGATGCCATGGGTGAAGGAATGGTGGCTGCATCTGTGCCTGTGGTGGGTACTGTGTCCATGCCCATGGCTGATGTGGCTGTGCCATGTTTGTGACCACGGCTGGACACCATGCTCATGGCAGATGCCACATCCGTGCTTGTGATGAAGCCAGTTCCATGCCCGTGGTGGAAGCCAGATCCGTGTCTGTACACGCTGTTGTGCTCGTGCCTATGGCAGATGCCCTCTCCACACACATCAGGTCTCCAGGCTGGTGCCACTGTCCCCAGGACCTCTGGGCACTGCTGAGCACTGACCCTGGCACCTGAGGCCTGGCCCGRCGTGACCAGGACCGAGTGCCTCCACCCTGTGATGTGGCACCAGGGAGGACTCTGGTGACCTGGTGCAAGAGTCGCACCACAAGCCCCAGCCAGGGGACTTTGCCCCGTGCCGACATCTCAGGCTCTGCACGGTGAGGCCACGCTGCCTGGGCCAGAGCCACCATCTCTGCGTGTCTTAGGCAGTGTTTTGGGGTGCCCCTTTATCCGGGGTACAACCCCGGGCCCCAAAGCCACTTGTGTGCATCCCAGCACGAAGGACAGGGTGGAAACGCCTCCCTGCCAACTTCAAAGCTTCCCGCTACGTCCATGGCGCCGTTCCCGACCTCCAGGTCTCCCAGGCGGGATGTCCCGTSGGCCCTCAGCATCTGCCCCCATCTCTGGGCACATGGGGCAGCTGCACGGGGGCAGCTCCCTAAACCCCCCAGCACTGGGTGCTGCACTTTCGGCAGAGCCCCCCGCCCTGTCCTGTCCCCTGGAGGTTTTTGGGGTCCYCGCACTGAGCAGGGTCCCTGTCGGGGACAGCGGGGCTGCACGGGAGCGGAGTGAAGCAAGGGAGCGGTGATTCAGCGGGACACGCAGCCGGCCCCGTGCCTGGGCGAGCCGGGGCAGGACGGGCACCGGCACGGCCCTCCCGGGGGCGGGCAGCACGGAGCGCCCCGCGGCCACCGCCGGGCGGGGGTCGCGCAGACCCCGKTCCCGGGGAGGCGCCGGCAGCGCCCGCGCAGCGCCGAGCACCGGGCGGCGGAGCGGCGGGGATGGGGATGGAGCAGGAGGAGGAGGAGGACGAAGGGCAGGAGGTGGGGCTGGAAGTGAAACCGATTGGGGGGGGCGGGGCGGGCTCGTCATGTGAACGGCCGCATGCTCGGGCAGAAGTGGGTCACGGCGCGGCGGAGGGGCAGGTGCCAGAGCCGCCCGGTGCCGCCCGGTGCTTCCCGGTGCCGCCCGGTGCCTCCCGGTGCCGCCGCTCCCCGCCGCGCCCCGCGCCTCTCCGGACCCCCGCGCCGCCCCATGCGCCCCCCGGCGCCCTGACCGCGGCGGACACGATGCGAGGTGGGTCCGGGTGGGCACAAGTTGGTGCCGCTGGGGATCGGGGGGACCCGCGTTATTCTGGCGGAGGGGAACGGGGAGGACCCGACGTCARCCCGGACGGGGATACGGGGGACCCGCGGAGGGGAACGGGGGGACTCGGCTCAGCCCGGGCAGTGCAAAGAGGGGACACGCATCAGCCTCGCTGGAGGGGGACGAGRGGCACCCGTGTCAGCCGCGCGGAGGGGACGGGAAGGACCCCGCGCCAGCCCCACTGGGGACACGGGGGAACCCGCTCCAGCCTCGCTGGAACGGGACAAGGGGGACCCGCGGAGGAGAACGAGGGGGGAACCCGCACCGGCCCCGCCGGAGCCGCTCTGCCTCCTCCAGCTCCCCCTTCGTTAGGAATAAAATTCTTGTTTATTTTGCTTCGCTTTCCGACGCCGGCTTAGACGCACTCTTAAGCTTTTCCCYGCACTAAACCCCTTAATCTCCTCTTCAATATGTTGCTCCCACYAGGGCTGGATTTATTGTAGTTTTTTCCCCCTTTTCCCCCTCCCCACGGCGTGGGGGGCAGTTTGAGAGGCTCCTGCAGGGACGGGCGAGGGATCAGGTGCAATTTTGGGTGCCCCAAGTCCAGGGCAGGGGTTGAGTCGTGCCGGCACCTGCCTGGTTTTACCCGTTACCAAAGGCAATTCCTACTTTTCTCCCCTCTGCTGTGCCAAGCAGGCAGTGGGGAGGAGGAGGATGGAGGGAGGAAGGCTCCAGCAGGACAATCCACCGGGGCCTGGTGATGGTGACGCAGCGGTGGCCGGACTCAGCTCTGTTCCCAACGTGCTGGGAGCACCGCTGCACCCTGGGCTGGCATTTTCATCCTCCTTTAAATCATTTTTTCCACCATCACCTGCCTTCCCCGAGCCCTTCGCCCTGCCAGGACTCCTCCACGCCCCTCCATAGGTGTGTTTTGGGGGCGCAGCTCCTCAGGCGCGTTTTGGGGTGTGGGTACCAGGATGTTCATCCCCGAGCTCCTCAAATCCTGTTTCCTYCCTGCACCGCTGCGGCTCTGCCCCCGCCGCTCTCTTGTGTAACGGTGGGGTCGGGGTGGGTGAGGAGGGCGAGGCGAGCCCCCCACATCCCCTTCCTACCCCACGACATCCTGGGTTTTCACCTTTTTTAGGACGGAGGGAAGCATTAGCGCCTGTCTAATTACCAATACGCCTGGCTCTTACGTAGCACTTGCACAGCCAGTGCCGGYTTAATTAGCAACTGGGCGAACTTTTCCTTTTTTTTTAGTATTTTTCTTTTTCCCCATGATTTGCTGTGTGTCGACCCCAATTTAGGGCCGAACCCTACTGCTATCCCACCGTTCCCCTTAGTCGCGTGTTTTTCCCGCAGTCCCGCGTCCTCATCTCTCTCGAAGCCCAAAATGCCGCATGGCGACGCCAAATTGATTCAATCTCCATTTTCCTTCCCAAAACCGCCACCGCTCTGCCCCGTTCCCCCGGGGGCCACAGCAGCTCCTCGCTCCTGTCCTTCCCTGCGCCGCGGCTGCGCCGGGGCCGGGGAAGAGGCTTTGCCTTGTATAATCCTATACGGTTTCCAGCCCTCCTGCTCACTTGTTTTGCAAGCAGCGTGGCGAGGAGCGTGCGGTGGCTCGGCAGCCTTTGCGACTTGTCCTAGTGACCTAGATCTGTCATTGGAAAAAATCAGAGAGGGCGGAGGAGGAGCTTCCCTGCCCGTTTCGGCGGCGTGCACACGCTGGCGCGGCCGAGGGCGGCCGGCACCCACCGGCCCTTCCGCACGACGGCCCGAGCGCCACGGGGCACCGATGGCCGTGCCTGTCGCTTCCCWAAAATAATCCTGCGGGAGAAAGCTGTCCCATGGTTTTATGGCGTCCTGAGGGGTCCAGACGGGATTTGGGACCCCCGACACTGCTAACCGCAGGGAGAGGCAGCGCCTGCAGGGGGAAGAGCAGTGGTGAGGGGACGGTGGTCCCTGTCCCCAGCCCGGCGTCCCTGTCCCTGCTGCCTGTCACGTTTAACTTTGAACTCGCGGCGGCTATTTAAAGAGCTGCTAATGTCTAAATCAGCCCGGTTTATCGGATGTGGTGAGCAGAGCTGCTCTCCTGCCTTTATTTAGCCCCAGGGAGATAATTCCCCCCGATTTAGCAGCAGAGCTGGAGGGGTTCTCCCACCGCAGCCCGGTTTGTCCCCACCCCGGGCTGGCAGGTCCCCCTCCCGCTGCCTCACCTTTGCCACCCTTCCGCAGCAGCCAAAGTGCAAAGGGCTGCGTCCTGCGCCGGCGGGGCTGGCCTTGGCACGGAGCTGCGTGGCACGGGAGCTGCTGAACCGGAGCTGCTGAACCGGAGCAACCCGGGCAGGACCCSGGCGGCCCCGCGGGAGCCACATCGCCCACCCGGCGCTACGATTTCCCGGCTGGGGGCACACGCTGCGCCACGGGACAGGGAAAAACAGCACCTTGYTGGCAATTGGGACTAAATGCAGACCCTCCGTCTGCGTGGCTGCAAGGGAAGGTGGCCAGAGGTTGCCTGAGGGCAGGGTGAGAGAAGCTGAGCGCTGTTCTGGCCCARAGTTTCCAGGAAATCTTTGCTAATCAATTAGGAAAGCAGTTCCCCCGTCCAGCATCCCAGCCCGGCACCGGGCTGTGGTTGTGTCATCTGACTTGTCCCTACTGCCCACTTGGCCCCGGTGCTGCGGTGTCCCTGTGCCCGTAGCCCGGGCTGTGAACATCTGGCACGGGCCTGGCTTGTTTGGGGTTCCCCGGGATGCACGGACGRGGATGGGATTTTTTGTTCCGGGGTGCTGGGGGACCCTGGGGCGCTGCAGCGCTGGACTCTGTTTAATAGTAAAGCCAACAGCAGATGGAAAGGAGTGATAATTCCCTTTATTTCCTTATTTCTTCCTACCCCATGGCCACCAAAACAGCGAAACTCAGCTGTGGTTGTGACTGTGGGGATCGCAGTCACTCCTGGGCTGGAGGTTGCTGCAGGGGGAGGCAGGAGCAGAGCCGGGTTTTAGGGCAGGAGTGGGGAGATGGAGTGGCATCGTGGGTCCCTGTGTGCCCTTGGGGGTCTCTGAGTGTCCCTGGGGGTCCCTGAGTGTTCCTGGGGGTCTCTGAGTGTCCCTGGGGGTCCCCTGAGTGTCCCTGTGTAGCCCAGACCTCCCCCTGCCCGTGGGGCACCAGGGGAATGCTGAAACCCTGGGAGGGGAGAGATGATGGTGGCGAAGCACCGGAGCATTCCAGTGCCCCGGCTGGGGCTGGGGGCTCCAGAAGGGCTCCAGGGAGGCTGCCGGGCTGCTGCCCATTACCAGAGGTGCCCATCCTGTGGCATCGATCGAGCCTGGCAGAGGGATGGGGCACGGAGCTGCTGCCCATCAGGGGCACTGGGGAAACACCGCGGGGTATTTGGGGCAGGGATGGCTGCAGGGGCACGGAGCCACCTCCGAAATACTCAGAGCTCACCCCACTACCTCTGGCAAGGGTCCCGTGGCCTCCTGCGGCCCCCCAAGGAAGGGGTGGCCATATCCTGCCCCTGCCCCATGGGGTGACAACTGAGCAGGCTCATCCCGGGGACTGTGCAGAGGATTCTGCAGGGACCCGTCAGTGCCCCCCAAAACAAAACACCCCCCTCCCAGGAGTCCTCACCCCCCACTCCTTGGGGGACAGCTCCAAAAGCCCCGAGCAGCAGTGGGGTCATAGCATGGCTCAATGGGGTGCTAAGGGTTTTGGGGTGATTTCCCCAAAGCAGTGAGATCACACGGCCGGGGGAAGGSATGGGGGGAGGAGGAGGATGGGGCYGCCCTCCTCCCTGCCCCACAGAMGGGGGTCCAGCCCCTCTTGTCTGCATCCTGCAGGGCCTGCCGTGTTTTGTTTTGTTTTGGGGTGCAAGAGATGCCCGCCCTTGGGGTGGAGGCGATGGAGAGGAGGGTGTGCCGGCATGGCACCAAGACCAATTCCTAACCCGGGGAGGGCGGCTCTGGCTCTGCCGAAACCACCAGAGCCTCCAGCCTGCTCTGGGACAAACGGTGCTGGGCTGGGGGGACACACCCAGCGGGGTCTGGGGGGTGATGGGCAACCTGGGCACTGTGCAGTGACAGACCCGTGTCCCCCACATAAAGCTGCACCTCAGCGTGGTAAACGCGTGGAGATATCACCCCAAAATGCCCCAAAATCGCCGTTCCCGGTGGCAGGAGGGTCGGAGCGCTGCCTTGAGCCCCAGCCCGGTCCCGGCGTGGCCGCGGCCCCGTCAAGGGTTAACGGCCGCGGTTACACAAGCGCGTGTGGCCACGGGCAGAAAGTGTGTCAGTGGGACAGGATGGCTCCGAGCGCGGGGCCACGCGCAGCCGCCGCACCGCACCGCACCGGGGGCCATCGCCCCGCCACGGCCGGGCCCCGCGGCCGGACCGTGCCACAGGGCCACTTACATAAGGGCCGGCGGTGGCAGCGGGCCGGGAGTTGGGCAAGAAGTGTTTACAGTGGGAGGAGAGCAAATACCACCGCCGGGACATTTTAATTGCCGGCTGGAGATCATTATTACTTTTTTTTTTTTTAACCCTTTTGTTGTTCCTTTTATCCCGATCCCTATTTTAGCCTCATCGGCCCCAGGRTGGGGTTTCCCTTCCTGCTCCCCCTGAGGGGAAAGGGTTCACCCCTCTCCTAAAAGCCCCTCTGTGTGCAGTGTAGCCGATGTTGGCGCGGTTGTGACAGGAGGAAATGCCAAACTCTCCAGTGGAGAAACTGAGGCACGGGGGGCGGGGAGGCATATCCGGGATTTGGGGTCTACTGTGATGTTTCCGCAGATCTCGGCGAGATTTGGGGGATGCGGGAGCTGCCGCGGCCACCCCGCCAGCACCCACATTCCTCCTCATCCTGCTGGGTTTGCCCCGGGGGGGYGGAGGTCGGGGGTCGCAGGGGAGATGTTCCGGCCGCCCCCGGGGGTCCTTGGCGGCGGCAGGAGGCGACACGGATGGAGCCGACTCGGTGATTCAGCCGGGTTTACAATCGGAGCAGCAATTAACCGTGCCGGGCTGTAATTGCCATCGCCAGGTTACGGCCCTATCTCCACGTCAGTTATTTGGGGCGAGCGTCTTCTGAGCGGGTCAGGTGCCGGTGGCGGGCACGGCCGGGTAATTAGCAGGATGGTAATTAGAACCCCAAAAGGCTGCAGGCACACGGCGGGTGGTCAGGGTTTCTCCTTCACTTGGGGGGAGCCCGGACAGCGCCATCCCCTCCGCCCTTGGCTCCGGCTCGGGGGGCTTTGGGGGGCTTTGGGGAGCTCTCGGGGGCTCCCTCCAGCGCGGGGCAGGATTTGGCCATGGACAGTACAAGAAGCCATCGGGATCTTTTGGGGGGCTTTTGTGGCCTATGGGACATTGTGGGGTGGGTACCGGCGGCACCGGGCCGCGCTCAGCCCCGGTGTTTGCCGCTGCCGGTAATTCCGGGTACCGGAGTATCGGCCGCGGGCGTGAGGGCGCGGCGCCCGCGATGCATCACCCGCGCTGCCGGCGGCTGCAATTAACGTTGCATAACGAGCCGACGCCGCTTCCTGCCGGGGGTGGCACCCCCTCCCTGTGCCCCCCGCCATGCCACCTCCTCTGTCCCATCCTGGCGATTGGGACAGGGCTTGGGGCGGGGAGGGGTCCCCGCGGTTTGCAGGCTGCAGCCCYCTAGGGCAGCGTGGGTGAAGATGGCAAAGGATCCGGGGAATTGGGAGTGTCTTGGTCATTGGGTGGTGATTTGGGGTAGCCACACACGGTCCTGTCGGTGCCACCTGGACATCCGTGCCCAGTCCGCTCTGCTGCCCCATCCCACAGCCGCAGCAGAGGCGTCGGCAGAGGATTCAGGGAGGGGCAGGGACAGGATGCGACTCCCTCCAGTCGGGGCAGGGAGACAACACACAGCTCAGCAGCCTCGGGAAGGAGGGGTCAGCCCCAAAATCACCCCGTGCATGTGGGGCATTGGGTTAAGCGGTGAGGCAATGGGTGCAGGAGGGATCCTTCCSTCCGCCTGCACCTGGATTTGGAATAAATGGTTTGGTGTGAAGGCTGCCCCAGGGGACACGGTGATGGCATCCCCAGGGGGTATTGATGGCATCCCCGAGGGTACCGATGCCATCCCTGCAGGACCAACAGCATTCCTGGGAGGATGAGCATCCCTGGGGGTACTGATGGCATCCCTGGGGGTACTGATGGCATCCCTGGGGGACCGATGGCATTTCAGCTGCCCCTCTGCCCCATCCCAGCCCCCCAAGGCAGTGAGGGACTCAAAGACACTGCCGGGTGCCCGGGTACAGGTGGCACTGACCGAACACCGGGGTGTCACTGGCAGAAGTGGCCCCACAAAACACATCCCTCGAGCAGAGCCGATGGCTCCCACGGGAGAAGAGAGGCAGAAGGGAATTACCCGAGCGGGGATTTGCACAGGCCCAGGAGATTGGAAATAACCATAATCTGGCCGTGGGGGTTATTTTGGCGTGGCGGCGGCTGCCCAGCACCCTCGAGAGCGGCGGCAGGCTGAGCTTTGCCGGGGGGTGCGGGGGCTGGAGCGGGGATTAGAGGGTGCAGAGATGCCGGGAGGCACGTACGAGTCCCGGGGGTGCCCTGCGTCCCCCCCGCGCTGCTGGGGAGGGCAGGGCCAGCCCAGATCTGGGGCAGCTGGAAAATGAGGAGGACGAAGCCTATTAGCAGCTCAGTGCCAGCGAAGCAGAAGCGGGGAGGGAAGCGGATTTGTGGGGGGAAGGGGGCCGGGACCTTGAGCTGGGGATGGCTATATCGGTCCTGGGTTTCAGAGGAGCTGCTGGGGGAGCGGGGGGGCCCCAGACCCTCTGCTCGGGCCAGACCTCCGGCAGCAGAGCAGCTGTAGCTGYAGGGATGGGGATGGTCCCCGTGCCGAGGATGGCCCTGGCCCGGTGCACACATCAGTTGGAAAATGAGGGGAATTATTCCAAAACAGAGTCCTGGGCAGGCTGTGGCAGAAACATCCTGTGCTCTCCCAGCTCCAAGGGCTTTCCTACCCTGTCTCCTGCTGCTGGAGGGGATGGGGGAGCAGACAGGGGTACCCCACACCCTGTGTGAGCCTTTTAGGGACCTTTCTGAGRTTCAAGCATCATTGCGGGGTCTGTGGGAAGGGCTGCGCTGCCGGTGGGTTCAGCTCTCGTGCCTCAGTTTCCCCAGTGCTGTCGTGGAGGGGGCGGCATCTCCCTCCTTGCGTTCAGCAGCGCCCATCATTAACCCCCGTGGTTTCCCCCTTTCCCCCCGCAGCCCAAATCGAAGTGATCCCGTGCAAGATCTGCGGGGACAAGTCCTCGGGGATCCACTACGGTGTCATCACTTGCGAAGGCTGCAAGGTGAGCCCTGGGGCCGGCAGCGGGGTGGCCGCGGGGGCTGGGCCAACCGGGCACTTTCCCAACTCTCTCCCGTGCCGTCCCGGGCAGGGTTTCTTTCGGAGGAGCCAGCAGAACAACGCCAGCTACTCCTGCTCCCGGCAGAGGAACTGCCTGATCGACCGCACCAACCGCAACCGCTGCCAGCACTGCCGCCTGCAGAAATGCCTGGCGCTCGGCATGTCCCGCGACGGTGAGTCCTGCCCGGGGTGCCCGGGGGCCGCCCGCTCCTCCTCGGAGCCAGTCAGGCTCTCGGGATGAAGCTGCTTCCCCCAGCACGGTGCAAGGAGGGTTTGGGAAGCAAGRAACACTTTGGTGTTTTCCACGGGAAAATAATCGGAACTGGTTCTGTTTGGTTTGACCCAGGGTTGGTCTGGGGCGGGGGGTGCRTCCAGTGGGGTCCCAGCCCCGCTCTGGGGTTCACAGATCCCCCAAAAGAGGTTTCCCAGGGGGATGGGCGGTCGTGGCTTCGCTCCGGGGGGCGAGGCTGCCCTGACACGGCCGCGTCTCCCCCCGGGGCAGCGGTGAAGTTCGGCCGCATGTCCAAGAAGCAGCGGGACAGCCTCTACGCCGAGGTGCAGAAGCACCAGCAGAGCCAGGAGCAGAGCGGCGGCCCCAAGGATGAGCCCGAGCCCCTGAGCCGCGTCTACACCACCAGCGTCAGCAGCGGCCTCTCGGACCTGGACGACATCTCCACGCTGTCGGACGGGCTSCTCTTCGACTTCCCCCTGACCCCTGACGGCAGCAGCACCTACTACAACCTGGACCTGCTGGCCTCGGCGCAGCCCTCGCCCGACCAGTCCAGCCTGGACGTGGCGGACGCCACGCTCATCAAGCAGGAGTCCATCTACGAGCTGATGCTGGAGCCGGCGCTGCTGGCGCACGGGGCGCTGGAGGGGGCTCAGCTGCCCCCCGACATCTCTGTCCTGGAGATTGGTGAGCGCCAGCGTGGCTCCAGGGCGGTGCTGGGCACACGGGGGGTGTGTGTGGCCAGGGGCCACCCCAGCACCTTGCAGGACACGCCCAGCTCTGGCTGCTCACACCTGCTCTAGGGGAAGGTGTCGCTGCCCACGGCAGGGCGCTGGAATGAGATTTAAGGCGGATGAGGGGATGGGATTGCAGCTTCTAACCCAAACCATTCTGGGATTCTATGAAACGCGCTCAGCCTCGGCTCTCAGGGCAGCCCCAAGCCTCCCTGATGGAGCTCAGCACAGCCCAGCTCGCATCCCTGGCTTTGCTCTAGGCTCAGCCCTGCTGTCCCAWCTGTCCTCACGATTCTGTGACACCACGGTAGTGCCCCTCAACCCCAGAAGCGCCCCGGGACACCCGGGAGAGGGCAGGGTTGGGGTCAGCCAGTTTCAATAATGACACAGACACGGTTAAAGGGATAAAGGAGGCAAAAATCATCAGGCATCARTCTCACCCCCGCTGTCCCCTCCTCACAGACCGGGTGGCGCAGAACGTGGTGAAGTCGCACCTGGAGACGTGCCAGTACACGACGGAGGAGCTCAAGCGCCTGGCGTGGAGCCTCTACTCCCCSGAGGAGGTCCGTGCCCTGCAGAGCAAGGTGAGTGCTGCTGTCACAGCCCCCTGCCCCAGTGTCCCCTGGGTGAGGAGGCTGAGGAAACTCTGTCAGAGCTTTGGGAGCCGCCCGCAGTGGCAGTTTGCGGTGCCAGGTGTCCGAATGCCACCACTCGCCACGGGTGGCACAGCGCCGGGCTCCCCTCCCTGCCCTGGGGGTGGCACAGCCGGGGTGTCGGGATCCCCTCCGCGTCCTGGGGATGGCACAGCCGGGGTGCCGGGGTCCCCTCCGCGCCCTGGGGGTGGCACAGCCGGGGTGTTGGGGTCCCCTCCCTGCCACGGGTGGCACAGCCGGGGTGTTGGGGTCCCCTCCCTGCCACGGGTGGCACAGCCGGGGTGTCGGGGTCCCCTCCCCTCCCTGGGGGTGGCACAGCCGGGGTGTCAGGGTCCCCTCCACGCCCTGGGGGTGGCACAGCCGGGGTGTCAGGGTCCCCTCCCCACCCTGGGGGTGGCACAGCCGGGGTGTCGGGGTCCCCTCCGCGCCCTGGGGGTGGCACAGCCGGGGTGTCGGGGTCCCCTCCGTGCCCTGGGGGTGGCACAGCCGGGGTGCCGGGGTGCCAGCACGCCCTGAGGGTGTCCCCTGTGTGCCGCAGAGCTGCGAGGCCATGTGGCAGCAGTGCTCGCTGCAGATCTCCAACGCCATCCAGTACGTGGTGGAGTTCGCCAAGCGCATCGATGGCTTCATGGAGCTCTGCCAGAACGACCAGATCATCCTCCTGAAAGCCGGTAAGAGGGGGGGAACCCCACCACCCCCCTGGCCTCCCTGCCACCCCCCTTTGTGTCCCCGCTGTCCCCCTGGCATCCCCAACCCTGTCCCAAGCGGCAGCTGCAGGGCAAGGAGCAAATCCCATCTCTTCTCCTGGCTGGTGCTTTCCTTTCAGGGTGTCCCCTCCTCGCTGGCCCAGCTCTCCCGGTGCTGGGGGAGCAGCTGTGGGCTGGAAGGAGCTGAAGGTCACGGTTAAGGGCGATGGTGAAGGGGGGCACGTGGGGAGTGGCTGCCTCGGGCAGAGGCTTTTCTCCATGGCCGCCCTCATCCAAATGTCACCCAGAAACCAGGATGGAAATGAGAACAGAAGGTTTCCCCCTGGGAAAAGGGGTGCCAAGCTCAAACGGGAGCAGGGAGGATTGAGAGAAAAGGATTGGTCTCTTCTCCCAGCAAGAGACTGGGAAGGGGAGGATGATGGCAGCGCACACCCACGTCCCCCTGCCTCCCATCTGCCCAAGCTGGCGGTGCCGTGCCCAGGCTGGGGAGCTGAATGTGCAGAATCCCCAAAACTGTAGAAAACCCTCCCTGTCAGGGCTGGGGAGCTGAGATTCGCACCCAGCACTGGGGACACGTGCCAGAGTCCCAGCGGGGTCCTGCACCCCGAAGCCAGAGCTGGCTGTGCCCGACGCGCTGGAGTTTAACTCGTTCTTTCGTTTCTTCCTTCCATTTTCTTTTTATTTATTTTGTTTTCACCCTTTCCTCTCTCTCGGTTCTCCACCACGACCTCGGTGTCTCTGTTCCTGGCTGTGAATGACTGGATAATATTTCCCTCTGGTGAAATATTGTGGTCACAATTGGACACCTAAAAAAAACCCCAACCAATCCCAAAACCCAAACCGGATTTGTTGAAATAACCATTCCGCTCTTGGGAACGAACAATCTGGACCTCAAACGTGCACTTGGGGCTTTCCTCTTTCTTACATTTGGTCCCGGGATGATGGAAACCCCCCTGACCTTCCCTGCCCTGCCCCGCCCTGCCCTGCCCTCGTCTGCGCTCTCTCTGCCTACGTCAGGTTGCCTCGAGGTGCTCCTGATCCGCATGATCCGCGCCTTCAACCCCCTGAACAACACCGTCCTCTTCGAGGGCAAGTTCGGCGGGATGCAGATGTTCAAATCTCTYGGTAAGGGTCGCCCTCCCTCGGGGCTCTCCTCCACCTCCTTTCATTTCCTTCCCTCACCTTCAGTTTTCTTCCCTCTCCCATTTTCTTCTGTCTCCTTCCCTCTCTTCCCCTTCCCTCTCTTCCCCTTCCCTCTCTTCCCCTTCCCTCTCTTCCCCTTCCCTCTCTTCCCCTTCCCTCTCTTCCCCTTC